TGCTGATAGCTTAATAGTGCTGAGACTTAATCCCTTGCACCACCAGGGAAGCCCTCATTGTTCATTTTTGTGTAATGTTTGCTTTCTTCCCTCAGGTGTATTCCCCATAAAATTCTCACCACATCACCTGTGACCCAAAACACCACCATAGTCCCTTGTGCTCGTCCCTCCCATTTTGACCCCTCCTCTTCCCCCTTCGACCCCTTGTTTGGTTTCCCTATATTCCTCTTATAAGTGAAACTATCCAATAGTTTTCTTTTTCCCTTTTTCCCTCATGCTTATTTCATTGAGCATGATCCCTTCCAGCTCCATCCCTGTTGCTACAAATGGCATGAGTTTCTCTTTTTTGATTGCTGAAGAGTATTCCATTGTGTATATATAGCACATCTTCTTGATCCAGTCATCTGTTTTTGGGCATTCAGGTTGTTTCCATAGCTTAGCTATTGTAAACAGTGCTGCAATAAATGTACTACTTCTTTTTATTCTTTAAAAGATTTATTTATTTATGCATATAAGAGCTGGGTACAGGCCAGAGATGCTGGGGGGGGGGGAAGGGGGTTTGAGAGGATTCACCAGAGATAGTGGGGGACAGAACAGGCAGACTGACTAAATACACTGCTGAGGGGAGCAGCGGGTGAGTCAGGAGAGGTCTGCTGTGCCATGTGGGTTGCTTCCTGGCTGGGGATCGAACTCTTGCTGCAGAGGCTGAGGATTGCTTCATAGTGTGGTGCTTAACCCCTTGCGCCAGCAGGGAGGCCCCTACTTCTGTTTAAACTGAAGATAACGTGAAGCAGCTGAGTCTGAAAGTCTCAAAACTGTAAGTTGAGGCCACAAATCTAAAAGGGCACAGAAATAACCATCACGGTTGTTTCGTTAGTATGTGCACTCTGGACAATGGGGTTCCTTTGAGGGTTTCTGCGGGTGATGAGATGTAGGAAAATGAACAAACCTTTACTGAGTGCCTATGGCTTGCGGAGTGTTTCAAGGGGTTTAGATAAATGGAGGTTCAAAAAGAAACAGGAGGAAACAAATCCAATGTCCATGGATGGATGAACAAAAGGAAAAATACTCTAAATTAAGAAGAACGAAATTTGGATACATTTTAAAACAAGGATGAATTCTGAAGACGTTATGCTAAGTGAAATAAGTCAGAAAGGAGAAACACTTTATGATTCCTCCTACTTACCTGAGGTAACTAGAGTAGGCAGATTCATAGATACAAAGTGGAATCATGGTTGCCGAGATTGTGTATGTTGGGGGGTGTGAGTGGGAATTCTGTTTTAATGGGTACAGAGTTTCATTTTGGGATGATGGAAAATTCTAGAAATGGATAGTGGTGATGTTTGCATCCATGTGGATGCGCCGTAGCGCCTCTGGACGGTACACTTAAGATGCAAGTATAATGCTATGTATGTTTTCATAAACACACATCTTTGGTGTGAACAAAACCTGAACAAAAACCCGAACAGAGTTACATTTGGTCTGCAGACATTTGAGTTTAAAAAGAAAAGAGAAGCCGCATAGAGCTTTGCGGAAGGATGAACGATTGGAGCCGGAGGCTGGAGGCTTCCCTCGCTCGGAGCCCTGGTTATAACTACTATTACCTGACTCTCCCACCAGACTGTGAGCACCTTCCTACCAGGGACCCTTCAAAACTTTTACACGTGTTTATCTCGAGAGCCCAGAGTGCCAGGCGCGAAGTAGCACTTCAGCGCAGGCTCGTGGATTGACCCTTCGAGAAGGGACGTGGCCCCCGGCCCGGGAGAAGACGCCCCCAGACTGCTGCTAGCCTTGGCGCGCCGAAGGAGGCCCCGGGGCCTTAAAGCGCTCGCGGTCCGGGCGGAGGGCAAAGGGCTGGGGCGGCGCCTTGCGAGGGCTCCGCCGCGCCTTCGGCTCCTCTGCGGCTCCGGGGGTGCCCAAGCCTCCAGCGGGAAAGAAGAAGAAGAAGAAAAAAGTCTCAACCTGCGGCCCAAGGAGACGCCTCCGCGCGGGCCGCAGTCCCAGAGAAGGAGAGGTGAGGCCGCGACGAAGCCGAGGCTTGTCTTGCCCGAGCCCGTTGGGAGCGAAAACCCGGAGTAGCAAAGCGTCTGCGGCTTCTGAGCTCGGATCCCGGGCGGCGCCGGGGCCGGCTCGGTGCGCGCCGCCACCAGGGGGCAGCCCTGCCCCGCCCGGGCGTTCCCCGCAGGCGCCCGCCCCGGGACGCGGGGACGGGGACGCGGCGCGGCGGGGTCGACGCGCGGCTCGTCCCGCCTCGCGGGAGGGCGGCTCGCCCCGAGCGCGGGTTTGCGGGGGAGGGAGTGGAGATTCCGCTGCTCGGGCGACGCCGGGGTGCGCGCTAGGGAGGGAGTCCCCGGAGTGGAGGAGATCGGGGGCCGCGGGGCGCGCGGGAGATGAAATCCTGGGGCTTCCGCGCGAGGGAGACGTCGCGGGCGCCCGGGTGGAGCGCGAACGCGCGGGTCCCGCTTGCCCAGAGCAGAGCGGCCGCGGGGAAGGGCGCGTGCGGGGCCGTGGGGCTCGCCCGCTGCGTCCCCGCCGCGCCTTCCCGGGCTGATCTTCCATTCGGAACCTGAGTGAGACCTGACTTTCCCCCTGAGAGGCCAGGAGATAATTTGCCACGTTTTCCCAAACGTTTCCGGGGAAGAGCCCGTTAGCCGTTAGGGAAGCGAACTGCGGGCAGTTACGCGCGCAACGCGACGTCAATCTCCGCGCGCTCCGCGGTCAGACTCGTTCAGGGCGACAGTGAACCGCGGAACGACGGGGTGAACCGATCGTTACAGTAACAAGTGGCGTGGGAGCAATTCCTCCCCGCCGGCTCACCTTTTGATACTTCACCACACCAGCCCCAGTCCCGCGAAAAGCACCGTGTTTGTTTAGAAACCGACTGAGTACTTAGAAAACCCAAACTTTTCAAGGGTAAGAGTGAGCTCCGGGGGCAGGACTCCTGGCTACATCAATAAAGCAATGTAATGCCTGATTAATAGTGCTGATTAATGTTGGCTCAGGTCGGTGCCGAACCCATTACAATAATTAAATGGTTCAGCCATATATCAAAGGAGTCAATGAAAAAGAATTTATTTAGAATTTTGAGGCGTTCTCATAGATCTTTCAAAGATCTACGATGGACTTCATGGGTCATTTGTAAGCGTAACTGGTTGCTAGCCATGCTGAGCAACAAAAACCCGATTTAGAAAGAAGTCTTAGATGAGGGAATAGTTTGTTCTTGAGACTGTGATTGATAAGGGGAGTATTGAAACATTTTAAGCCGTGGAAAGCACTCGGTGGATAAAATGATATATACAAGGGCAGCCGACGACTGTTCCTAGAGAAAACCATTGATATTTCTCATTTTTAATCAGAAAGCTAAAAATTTGAGGCAAGGCCACTTTGAAATAGAAGTATTTTTAGAAGCACAAAAAAATCACAAAGGTATGCCTATGTAGAAGTGTGAATTCCACAAATCAGCAAGAGTTTTTCTACTGGCCAAAAATTTAATTTGAGCTGGTGACAAATACAGGAACACTTCAAATAGTTCTGCTTTTGAATTATTTCCACTACCTTTTCACCGGAAAAGGAAAATCAGGTTGAATACAACTTGAATCTTATTTAAAAAATTATTTCGTTTCTTTTCCCCAGTAGCGATTTTCTAAAAACGTATTTCTAAAAGCTGGTCTAAATGTTATCATTGTAGTGCCTATTATTAAGCCAGCCTGATATCCGTGTATCTGTCATAGTAATTTAATTAGTTTTGAGATTACTGTGAAGAGTTGCTTAGAATGTAATGTCCTTCTTACTGAGAACTTGAGTGTCTTTTATCCCATTATGCAAGAACTTGTTGGAATCGTTGAATTTTTGTGTGCGTTTGGAGTTTTACTGCAATTTTCTACATCTCCGTAGCCAATCACTTCTTTAAAGAAAGACCTTTAAAGACAGGTCTCCCACGGAATCTGTCCGATGCTCTCATTAGAGTGGCTTAGTTTAACTGTCAAGTTTCCGGCGCGTTCACGTGCAGATAAGTGACTAACACGGCCGTCTACAAGCATTTTTTATTAACAGATGGCGGGAAGCAAACGTTTTTTGGAGAAGAACTGAAGGGGACAGGTTAAAAGGTCAATAAACAATTATTACAGTGCTTAAGCCGGGAGGCGGGGTTCGCATCAGCTGTAACGGGGAGTCGCTCCACGGACCTGGGAAGGGGCGACCGCACAGACCTCAGCGCAGCTCTCCGGGGGCCGCCCGGTCGCCGGGGCGGGGGCGGGGCGGGGGCGGGGCGGGGCGGGGCGGGAGAGGCGCTTCCCGGCCTGCGCGCCCCGCCAGGCCACCGAGTGGTCGGGTCGTCGCGTCCCGGGCGCGCCCCTGAGCTTGGGGTCGAGGACACCCTGAAGAGACGGAGGCCGGGGGCTCCACGCTCGCGCGGCGGTGCTCGCCCGGGCCGCCGCGGGCGGGAGGGCGGCCGGGCCCTGGCCCCGGCCGGAGCCCCCTTCCCGCGGCCGCTCCTCCCCGCGGCGGCCGCTCCTCCCGGCGGCGCGGGCTCCCCGCTCCCGGCGGCCGCGGCGCTGACGCGCGCACCATGTGACAGCCGCCGCCGCTATAAGCGCGCGGGCCCGCCCTCTCCCGGACTCGGCCCTCCCGCCGCCTCGGCCCCAGGCTCCCACCCGCGCCGCCCGCTCCCGGCCCGACACCCCGACCCTCTCCCCGCGCGCCCGGGCTCGGACACACCCTCCGCCGGCCGCGGCGGGCGCCGCGAGGGGAGGTCAAGCTCCCGCCCCGGCGCGGCGCGGCGCGGCGCGCGGAGCCCGCGGGCCGGCGGGGGCCCGGGGTGACGGAGTCGCGGCGCCGGCCGCCGCCGCCCGCCCCGCCGTCCCGCCCCGCTCCGGCCGCGGCGGCGGCCCCCCCAGCGTGGCGCCCCCCGGCCCGGCCCGCCGCCCCGGACCCGGGCTGGGGCGCGGCGGGAGCCCGGAGGCCGGCGCGCCCATGCCTCGCCCCGCCGCCGCGCCGCAGCCATGACCCTGAGCGCGGGCATGTCCGACGCCTCGGGCCTCGCCGAGGAGACCGACATCGACGTGGTGGGGGAGGGCGAGGACGACGACGACGACGACGACGACGAGGGGGGCGGCGGCCCGCGGCTGGCGGGGCCCGCGCGGCGGCGGCGGCGGCGCTCGTACGCCGGCGAGGACGAGCTGGAGGACCTGGAGGACGACGACGACGACGATGAGCTCCTGCTCGCGCCGCCGCCCGGGGGCTCCCCGGCGCCCCCCGGCCCCGCCGCCGCCGCCCACGGGCCCGGCGCGGGCGGTGCGGGCGCGGGCGGCGCGGGCGCGGGCGGCGGCGCCAAGAACCCGCTGGTGAAGCCGCCCTACTCGTACATCGCGCTCATCACCATGGCCATCCTGCAGAGCCCCAAGAAGCGGCTCACGCTCAGCGAGATCTGCGAGTTCATCAGCGGCCGCTTCGCCTACTACCGCGAGAAGTTCCCCGCCTGGCAGAACAGCATCCGCCACAACCTCTCGCTCAACGACTGCTTCGTCAAGATCCCCCGCGAGCCCGGCAACCCCGGCAAGGGCAACTACTGGACGCTGGACCCCGAGTCCGCCGACATGTTCGACAACGGCAGCTTCCTGCGGCGGAGGAAGCGCTTCAAGCGGCAGCCGCTGCTCCCGCCCAACGCCGCCGCCGAGTCGCTGCTGCTGCGCGGGGCCGCGGGGGGCGCGGGGGGCGCGGGCGACCCGGCCGCCGCCGCCGCCGCTGCCGCCGCCGCCGCCGCCGCCGCGCTGTTCCCGCCCGCGCCGCCGCCGCCGCCGCCCGCCTACGGCTACGGCGCCTACGGCTGCGGCTACGGCCTGCAGCTGCCGCCCTACGCGCCGCCCTCCGCGCTCTTCGCCGCCGCCGCCGCCGCCGCCGCGGCCGCCGCCTTCCACCCGCACGCCGCCGCCGCCGCCGCCGCCGCCGCCGCCGCCCCCGCCGCCCCCGCCGCACGGCGCGGCCGCCGAGCTGGCCCGGACCGCCTTCGGCTACCGGCCGCACCCGCTCGGCGCCGCCCTGCCCGGCCCGCTGCCGGCCTCCGCGGCCAAGGCGGGCGGCCCCGGCGCGGCGGCCCTGGCGCGCTCGCCCTTCTCCATCGAGAGCATCATCGGGGGCAGCCTGGGCCCCGCCGCCGCCGCCGCCGCCACCGCCGCCGCGCAGGCCGCGCCCGCCCCGGGGCCCGCGGGAGGCGGCTGCGCGGCCCAGGCCACCCGCGGCCCCGCCGCCGCGCTCACCCGCTCGCTCGTGGCCGCCGCGGCCGCCGCCGCCTCCTCCGTGTCCTCGTCGGCCGCGCTGGGGACCCTGCGCCCGGGGGCCGCCCTGTCCGCGGGCGACAGCCTAGCCGCCGGGATCCCCAACTGTTAGTTGCGCCCGCGCCAGGTAGGACCCGCGCCCGCCCGCCCCGCCCGGCCCGCCCGGCCCCGGCCCCGGCCCCGGCCCGGCCCCCGCCCCGGCCCCCGCCCGGCCCCGCCCTGGCCCCGACCGCGCGCCCCTCCGCCGCCCCGGAGTCCGGCGGGCGCGCCCCGGCGCGGGTCCCTCTGTGGGTGCCGAGGCGCCCCAGGGCAGCGCGACCCGGGGCGGGGAGCCGGGGGTGCCGGGGCGCCCTGGTGGCGCCGGGGCTTCCGAGACTTTGGGGAAAGTTGAAAAACTCTAAGCCCCGCTGAGGTCTAGGGAGGCTCAGGTGCAGGCGCCGCGCGGGTCTGGGGTGTGGGGGAAGAACCGCGGCAGGGGCCGGGGACGCGCGCGAGGCGGCGGCTCTCCGGAGGACGCTGGCCGGCTGCGTTTTCACGGAAAGGAGGAGACGATTAACATGTTTACACGAGGAAAAAAGTCAAAATTATCGTTTATTTTAACCTGTGTTTTGTATCATAATAGACATGCGAAATTTTTATTTTGTACTTACTGCGTATTCTTTACAAGGAGTATTGTAAATTTTACTGACAATTATTGTACTATTCTAATGTAAGATTTTTACACTTTTTTCAGAAATAAAATCTTAATTTTCAAAGAAAGTCCACCTAAATAATTGGTTTCAGTTGTCCCCTTTTTAGCTTATTTTCTCTTCTGTTAAAGATTCTGAATGAGATATTGTAGACCAGATTTAAATATTATTTTCAAAGAGAATTAACAAAAACATCGGGCCATGTTTTTTTAATTTATAGTCTAAGTCAAAACCATTGCAGGGGGTCAAAAATTATTTTTAAAATTACTACAAATACAAGAAGTTACTCTGGTATTTATTTTCAAATCTCAGTCTATTCCATTTTGAGGAGCCTTGAGGCTATTTAAAATTAAACCCACAGTTACCCTATGATAGCTTTGCAGAATTTTGGTCTTGAGCGTCCCCATTTCCTTTAATATACATTTACTTTTGAGCTAACTATTGTATCTGTCGGTAACAACTTGCCAACATAATATTACATTCTAATGGAAGCAACACGGCAAGCGGGCAATTTCTAGTTAGAAATTAGTGGGAAAAAATTTAATAAAGATGGTCATCAGTTAAATAGCCCTAAAGTCTTGCGTAAAACTAGTTATATCAATTAACTTGTGTTTGAAAGTTCTGGTACGTGAGGCTACTACTTTCTCTACTGAAGGGATGCCAGTCATTGCACAAGGAAGTTTTTATCACAAAAAGCAAACAACATCAAAATTCTAATTTAAATGAGTAACAGGATAAAAGAACCTTCAGTTTTAGGATAGTACAAGTTTAAAGGATAAAAATGAAACACCAGGTGCATATTAAACTGTACAGTTTGGGTAATTTAGAATATCTTTTTTAGTTTTAAATGTTTCCATTAATAACAGGCAATATCTAATTTTTTTAAAAAATGTGGGACTGGTTGTAATGAATATAGGTGTTACTGTGGACTTCAAATAAAACCATACCATATATAATATGTACTTTATAAATGTTTAATATCAGTGAGTTACAGAGGAGGTTCAATCTGTTTATTACATTTTTTCCAAATATCTGGACAGGTATACATATATCTGAAGATCTGCAGATTTAACTTAGCAAGTTAAGGAAGACTGCACTATGAGCCAGTGTTATGCAGTGACATTCACTCTTGACGTCCTGTCCTCTCATCCCTCTTTTAGGGAGGAAAAAACTGACTCAGTTTCAAAAGTAAGTTCTGTTTTATTTTCCTATGAAATGTTTGGAAGATGTTAAGAGTTTAAAGTAAATGCGCACATCTTCGAATTTACCACTACGTATATAGTCACAAACTGGGATATCATTAAGCCAAAATCTTATATGCAAATGCTATTATTACTCCAGCCTGACTGAAAGAAAGGAGACACTGAGTGGGATGCCACTGTCTCCCACGTGGAGAGGTGTCAGCAGGCTTAGAAACCGCCTGTAAGGCACAGGTGTGAAATATTTAGATCTGAAAACAATTATGAAGAGAGCGAAGGAACGAAACCTTGTTGTTGTTAGCATGATGCTTGGATGTCCGCAAAGTTGGGAATCCTGGCTAATCTCTCTCAATGTAGTCCCCATTCTTTAAAGTCGTGCAGGTTTGTCAGTGCCTTTAAGAGTATTAGGAAGGCACAGGGCGATCCAGCTCTGCCCTCTGGGGGACCTGGTGTTGGGGTCCCTATTCCCTCCACCAGAAGCTTATGGAGAGACCGCAAGTGCATTGTGAACCCCTGAGCTTGAGAAAAAGTAAACTTAACCTGCCTGCCAGGTCCCTGCTTTTGCGTCCTGCGATTTCAGCTCCTCCACCCTCTGGGTCTGGGGTTCTGCCCCCGCTTTACTGACCCTGTGGGTTTGGGAGGAGGGTGGGCAGAGTATGGAGACACTAGGGCCCTGGGTCAGGCAAGAGATGACCGGTGGCTCCTAGATGAGGGTCGCGGGCCGGGTGAGGTTTGGGCTGTGAGAAGTGCGGGCTGTGGGTCACTAGAAATGGACCAAGGGGCAGGTCAGGAGTGGACCCCGCGAGCCAGGAGCGCGGGCCGCGGGCGAGCAGGTGCTGGAACAAAGGCCGCGGGCCGCCGGACTATCGAGGCCTTTGATGGGCAAGGACGTCTCCTCCCAGGGCTCCTCATTCGCATGCAAATCCAGCTCTGGTCCCCTTTTCTTTGAAGGCAAACAGAAGGATGTTTGTGTGTTTGTAAGGACGAAGCCGGCTTGAACAAGCCTTCTTCAATAGGCTGGGTCTCGAAAAATAAACCAGTTGGACAAACATTGGCCACCAGCTCTCCTTCTCCCAACTACAAAGTGTGGATTTGCTACAACTCATTAACCCGACGCTTTTCTCCCCTTCTCCTTGTTTCTCTGCTCATCAAACGCCCCCGTAGAGCCTGGAGACAAATGACCGAAGCCCAGTCGGGAGGGAATTGCAGTTAATAGGGAGAGGAATATATTGGGGCTAATGGTTCAGGCAGCTCCTGGAGAAGGACCACACAAAAAGGATCCTCTCCATTCAGCGCTCTGCTGTGCTGCCTAGATTTAATCTGCAGCTAGATTTAGCCAAATGTTATCTATTGCGGGGGTAATGAAGCCCTTATGGATTGAATTGCTCCTTGTACCACACATGGTGTCATGACCTTAGATCGTTTCTTGGTCGATTTCTTTTTTCTTTATTGGGTAATTATTTTATTTCTTTAAAATAAGAAGCTAACGTTTCTGCTCAACAATGTGTTTCCCTTCCATCCTCACCCCGTGCATTTATTTAAGAGCCACTTTCCTTCCTCTTAAAAAAAAAAAAAAGAAAGAAAAAGAAAAGAAAAAGAAATAGGGGATAGAAAGAAATTGTGAATCCCTTCCCCACTTTTTACTCACCTACTCACCCACCGAGGCCTTAGTTTGTCTGTACATCCCTACTTCCCTGTCCTCTCTTCGCTGCTCTTTCCTGACCTCTCTCTCGATGGAACTGGAGTTTTGCATATATTTATTATCGAAATTCTTAGAGTGAATGTAGTAAGCGGCCATCTGGGAGAAAGACTCTCTCCCATCACAGGGTATTTTTTTTTTTTTTTTGTTAATATATATACCCCACATTTCTTCCTGTAGCTTGTCCTCTGAGAGAGCTGGGGGAGGTGGTTATTCTGATGGAAGGTGATTATTTTGATGGAATACCAGCCTGTGTCATTTATTAAAGGCTGTCTAAGGCCTGTGGTTGAGCTGTGCTGTTTTGTTTTTCTCTCTCTGGCCCCGGTGACTCTGATTTCCTTGCTTGACTGAGGACCAAGCTTGGAGCAGCTAACAGTGTTATTACAACTGCTATTGATGGGTAGGGATCTGATCTTACCAACCAAAGTCAGAAATTAAGGACTGTGGATTTAGTTCTAAAATTCTGTGCTGGCTACACATTTGGCTCACACCTGGTTTTATTGCTGACAAGAAAGGTAATTTGGGGACGACTTAAAGGTCATATCAGCACCCAGTTCAACCCAAATCAGAAATCTGTCCAGGAACCACCCTGGTCTCTCTGGACAAGTCCAGGGAATAACCAAGGGTCACATTGGAATACCAGGGGTCTCTGTCCCCCTTTGGAACTGACCCGGATCAGGACAGGCCTGAGAGCAGAGGACAAGTGGAGCAGCCTGGCACTGTCAGCATCCATTCTTTTCTCTGCTGGTTTCCTGGTGTTGCAGCTGAATCACGCAGGCACACAGGCACGCACGCTTGCTGCCCATCAGCTGCCACTCGCCCCCTTCCCCTGTGATTTTGTAATTAGGCATATGCTTTTTGTTGGTGAATGTGTTTGATGTCACGGCCAGTGAAACGTGATGTGTTTATAGGGCCACGAATGTAAATGTGTAAATATGTTTAGTGTAAAATCTGGCCCTTCGACTTTAGCAATAAATACCCTGCCAATTCGGATACAATTACAGTTGACAGAAAGATGGAGGCCCTGATCATGACCAGCTGCTCGCTGTCCTTTGGGGCTTAGACTTTCCCAACTGAACTCACTTTGCAGACGATGTCTTTGAATGTCACATCTCTCCAGTCCCAGCTTTCCCGCAATGTGAGGGGCTTGGGCTTTTTTCTGTTTATTGTTGACCCTCCTGGTATATAGGAAACTTCCTTGCCTTTGCTTCTTCACTGAGGAAATACTATTTAGTAATAAGCAAAAAACACACAGGAAAAAAACTATTGTTATGGATTCCTTTTTTGAGTCATGAATGAGTGCTCAGGTGTAATGGGATAATGAAGAGAAATGAGGATGAAGGCTGTGAACCTCTGGCCCACATTTATCATCTCCTTGTCATTATCATCATCACCCTTACTTCAAATACCTTGTAAGGTACACTAAGTTTTAAAAGGTAAACATTTTAGGGAGCTATAATGTACATACTGAAAAAATGTACAAACTCAACCTCTTTTCACAAAGTGAACATACCCCTGTAACCAGCAAATAAAGAGGCGGGTGTTACCAGTACCCCAGAAATCCCTTTCTTGTATATTCCACGCATTAACATTTTATTTCTCTGAACAATGATGTAAAATAGTGAGGGCAAGAATTATTACTGACCCCCTTTTACAAATAAAGACATCAAGGCTCAAAAGATATAAAGTGACTTGCCCAAGGTCATAGCTACTGGGACTTCAGCATTTAAATCCCATTTTCTGTCCATTATATCACACTGTCACTTTGTTGCCATCACTGTGATTTATTAAACACCCACTGTAGCAGGGCAGTTGCCTTTGAGTTATCTGTGCAGAAGACTCATTTATATCTTATGCTTTTTTTTTTTTTTTTTTGCCTTCTTGCTAGCCCCTCCTCTTTGCCACCTCCAGTCAGGTCTTCCCAGATACCTCAGCTCCATGTATTAGATGCATGTGGGGTCTATAGATAATATATTTCAGGTTGGCACTATCTGCCAAACTGGCAGAGCATTTTGCTAAACTGCTAAGCAGATCTTTACAACCTGTCTTACTAGAGTCATACGCATCCTCCCTCCCCATTTGGAAAAGGGAAGAGTATTCAGGAGTCAGATCAACTGATTTAGCATTTAACAAGAAAGCAGACCATTTTTGCTTAGAATGTGCCTCCCTTAAGACACTCTTATTGAAGATTTTGCCATCTTTGAACAGCTGTATATGATGTGACTTAGCCGTTCCTTTAGCCCCTCACAATTCACTGAAACGGAGACTCCCAAGTGGCCATCCTACCTGGAAATCCCACCTGCCTGGCCAGAAGTTTCCCTATATTACTTTTGGTGGGGGGGTGGGGGAAGGAAGGGAATTCCAGACCATCTGCTGAAATCACATCTTTCCCTTGATGTGAACAGCCCATCTTTGCCCTGTTGCCACCAGAAGCCTACTGAAATCTGGTCTCCCCAAGCAGGCACTGGGGGACACTGCTTTGTCCTGGCTAGAGTCTGCAGAGATTGTGTCTGACTAGCAGTGAGTGGCACACTGCAAAGAAAAAAATATATATTGTGATATTTTTAAGGGACAGTTCTTAATGCAACATAATACTTGATTTTCTAAAGAGAACATATTTCATTAAAAACCAGAAATGATATTTCTTTTATGTTCTGGACTATAAAAGACAATAAAAATCCATTCCAGGGGGAAAAAAGCAAACATCAGAAGTTTTATAGAGAGTGACTGGAAAATTCTAATTTGAATTTGAAATCAGGAGAAGGCCTGGGAGGATATTTTTCTACTCCTACTAAAGTGAGAGTGACTCTATTTTTCAAGATAGGGTGTTTCCCATATAGTATGCTACAGTTGAGGAGATGAGATCTGGTCTGTGAAGCAGAATGCAAACCACATAGAATCACCCATCCAGCCCAGGGAGTCTGCTGAGCACTAGAAAATCAGGCAAGCACAGCAGCAGAGGATGGCACTGAGGCCCTGTGTCTCTCTGTCCCAGTGGAAGCCAGGCAGACTGAGCATGCACTTCAATTTGCAACTACAGATCAACAACACATCGGCAAAAAAAGAAGGGAAGATATTATGGCAGAAAGCAGGCTTCTTTGTATACTTATCTGGGAATTCTTTTTAATTATAATTAAAAGACGGATATTTTCCAGAATGAAAGAGACATATTTTCTAAAGTCAACAGTGAAGGACTATCGTGAGTGAAAAATAACTTGGTTCCCTATCTTTATAATTTTTATGCAGAGTATTCATATATATATATGAAAATGACTAGTACAAGATTATGTGCTGCTACATGTTATGGAGAGGGGGGGAGAAAAATAATCACACACCAAAAAGAAAAATCTCCAAAGCCCACAATAGACTATGATTAATTTGAAATTAAATATTAGATCAGTTTTCACATTCATTTATAGTTTTAGGGGGTGGGGAGATGGGTTGGAGAATCAACTAAAATAGTTTATTTGTGCAAATGCTCTGGAAAACATACAACCTACACAAATGTATGGAACGACTGTTTTGTGGCTTCCTTCCCATGTATTTATTCTTTCAAGGAATAGAGAAAAAAGAAAAACTTTGGAGTATATCCAAATCTTCTGTTAAGAGAAATCTTTGGCTATATATAAAAATACACCTATCTTCAAAATTCTCACCCTAGCTATGACATAGTTTCTTAAGCCTTTCTAGAAATAATGAGGAGAAAACAGATGGCATTGTGTTTTCTCTTAGTCAGATCTGTATTTGGATAGATAACTTTCTCCTCCCTTCCAAAATAAACAAACCAATGGTGTTTTAAATCCACTCTTCTAGTCTCTTGCTCTATTTCTTTGCTCCAGTTACTTATCTACTGATCATCTCTTTAACCTCTAAGCTTTCAAAAGTGGGATTAGTCTGCAGTATTTATTGAGCACCTGCTACATTGTAAATCTCTTTATTCCTGCTTTAAATATAGGAAACAAATGAAGGCATTCCTGCCACCAAGCTGCCTCTAGTAACTTAAGCATACACTCACAGGACAAGCACAGGCCGCTGCAGCAGGAGACAATGGGGGTGGAGGATGGGCTAGAAAGAGCGTTTTTTCTTTTCTGTTTAACAGAACCTTAAAAAAAACCCTCAATAGTCTGCAAGCTAAACTGTAGCTGCCTGCCTCTTGACAATATTTTTGTAGTGTGGCAGTTTACTCAGAAAGTGCTTGAAACACCGAAGTGCCTGTGTGATATGGAGATAGCTGAGTGTCAAACTCCTCCATAAACAGACTATGAATTTGAGTTTCCTTCCAACTTTAAGGCTTTTTATGATCATCTATTGGTCTTATCCATAGCTTTCAGGAAGACCTGAGGAGGAGGAGGAGGAGGAGAAGGAGGAGGAGGAGGAGGAGGAGGAGGGTTCGTGATCGGGCTTATCACAAAATCCCATACTACTATGAACTGAGGCTAGAGAGAGATGGACTGAATCTATGTCTAAGTGAGTTTGTGAAGTGTTAAATACAGAAGCACAGGGAAAAATGCTCGGATATTTCCCCCGTTTTACTACGAATCAAGAAAGATGAAAAAAAGAAACCATGTATATTCTTGTATTTTAAAATAAACTTTAAATATTTTCCACTTACAGAAATCACAGACATATCAATATGCAAACTCAGAGTCCAGGTTTTAGACAGTGGGGTGTATAGGCACCCAAAAGTTTTTGACATTCAACTGAAGCATTAAGCTCACCTACAAGTTGTCATCACCAAGGAAGTGAGGGCAACTCACCAAGTTTGGGTCTTGTTTTCTTCAAAAGCAACCAGGGTACAGAGGACAAAAATAAAATGCTGAGGCACTCAGTATTCTGTTTTTGTATTTAAGGAATTTAATATTTCTTTCCCTCCCCCCTCCATCTGCATATGTAGAGGACTCTTGCAAGCCACCCCCACATATCTTTAGAATTATGTGGGATGGGATCCCTTGTTTTAGGGAGTTGGTGGGTGCTGAGTTGTTATTGTAACTCTATTCTGTAACCAAAGCTCTGGCATGTAATAAATCTCTCCCGAAAGACTTTGGATCTTTGATTTGAAAAATCGGATTCCTTTTGTGGAAACAGTTGACAGGAACCTAAAAGGATTAGTTGCATTCCGCATAGGATAATTTTTACTGGCAACATTTTGAAACGATTTGGTCCCTTTCAGACCTTAAACAATGTCCAGAAAAATGATCTAACGGGACTTGTATTGTTTTCTTTTGTCTGTGAATCCGTTTGCCGCTTGTGTCAACGTCTCAGGACTTTGACAGGGTTTTGCTTCCGAGCAGCACACCGCCTTGATTTCTGATTGCCCTTTCTAACTTAGTTCGTTACCTCCTTCGGCCATGGGTGCAGCCGCGTTTTCCCAACGTCAAGCCCCGAAATGAAGCGGGAGCGGGTGCTCTGTCCTCCGTGGCGCCGCGTCTGGGAGGGGGCGAGGGGCCGCGGTCGCGCTGCCGGGGCCGCGCGTCGGGGCGCCGCGGCCTGGTCCCCGGTCGCCGACAGCTGGGGCGCCGGGCGCCACCCGCGCGGGCCAAGCGCTCAGCTGCCAGACCATCGCCGCCAGCAGTCCCGCGACCCGCGGGCCCCGGGAAGCGACGCTGAGGGCGAGAGGGAGAAAATTTTGCGCCCTTTTCCCTCCTAACTTCCTCCCTCCCTCAGCACTCCCCCCACCCCCGTCCCCTGGAGAGTCTGCCCTCCACCAGCTGACGGCCGCTGCGCGCGGGCCGCCGGCGACCGCGCTCCCGCCTCCCGGCCCTCTCCACTGTTTATTTTGTTGTCAGCGGACTTATCAAGATGTTAGTTTGCTGGAGGTTTTGACCTGCCCGGGCGCTTGGGCTGCGCGGCCCGGGCCTTCCCCTCTGTTTTTACACCTGCACAAACTCCACCGCACTCCCCTGTCTGATTTATAGCCCAATTAAAGGTTCAGTGTTCTTGAAGCCACCCGCGCTGCGCCCTTCCCGCCTCCCGCCGGCCGCGGCGAGCGCAGGAATGCGCCTGGCGGGGCCCGTCCGCGCCGACGACCTCGCGCGCGCGGCCGAGGAGCGCGCCCCGGCCCGGAGGGGCTGCGGCGCGGCCGGAGGGCCTGCCCGGGAGCCGGCGGCCACCCCTCGCCCGCACCCCGCCCGGCAGCCGCGCGCAATTAAGCCACGTCCCCAGACCGACGGGTTTCCTTCCCCGGGTTTCGGCTTCATTGGGTCGCGGCGCTGCGCCGACAGCACGCGGGGCGCGGGGCGGGAGGGCGCCGGGGCGGCCACGTGGCGCGGCCCGAGACAGAGCCCCCCTCACCGACCTTTCGGCGGCGACTCGCCCCCGGCCCGGCCGCCGAGCTGGCCAGTCCTCGCCTCCGCGCGATTTCCCGGGCGAGGGAGAGGCGGGCGGGAGACCCGGCGCGAAGGGGCGCCGGTCGGGGCGGGAGGCTGTGCGCCGCTTGTCCGCGCGCGGCCCGGCCTTCCCGCCTCGCTGGGCCAAGGCCGGAGGCCGCGTCCGGACGTGCCCCGGGGAGTCGCGGTTGGTGCCCGCCGCGGGGCTCGGCTGTGGGCGGGAAGCGCGGGGTCAGCGACCGCCCGGCCCGCGCGTTCGGCGGGAAAGGAGGCTCGGCGCGGGCGGGCGGGCCCCGGCTCCAGCCTCCTTCTTTGCGGCCTTTTCTTTCCGGAGAGAATAAGCGGCAACCCAACCGAGATGGGCAGCATTGAGCTTCTTCCTAACCCGACTGTGTCTTCTTTGCATCTATCAATCCACCTTTCTAATTAGACTAATTAGGAGCGCTCTGGAGTGTCGCTAGGCCCAGGGGCTGAGCCGCTTAGAGGTTGTGAAAAGGGCCCTGAATGGCCACGCTGGGGGCCGGGCGGGGGCTTTCGCGACCCTTTCAGCGCACAGTAACAGTGGCCACATTTATCGCTCGCCATTGAAAGGAGGCTCGATTAAAACGTTTGGGGACTAATGCCACCCTGCCTCCTTTCTAATTAGAGCAGCCCGCGGCGGTTGCGCGAACGCCGGGACCCCTCGGACGCACGTCCCGCGCGCCGCTGCTTTCCGCCCTTTCAGTGCTGCCCGTTTCCTTCCCGGAGACAAAAGTCCGCCACCTCCCACCTGTTGCCAGCCCCGCGCTTTCCCACCCGTCGCTCGTCCTGCGCCCTGGCCCAGGCGGAAGGCCCAGCCCACGGCCTCAGAACGCGAAGCCCGGCGGAGAGGTTGAGGGCAGCCTAGGTGCCTTTGTCCTGACGGCACCTTTTGGCCTCGGAGAGGTTCGGTAGCTTTCTCTCCGCTTCTCTTTGGTGTTTCTTACGTTGTTTCTGTGTAGCTTGGTCTTACCTGCCCCCTCCTTTTATTTTTTTTTAGCCGTGAAATTTCCAGGTCCGTTGTCTGGGTATGGGAGTGTCAGGTGTCCTATCTTGGTCACCACTTTGCTGTGGAGTTCTTCCCTTTAGTCCTTTGGGCTTCTGGCATTTCACCAGTACTGTGCCTAGAGAGATTATTCTACGCTCCTCAACCTTCTTTCCTCTCCCTGTTTTAGCCCATCCCCAAATATGCCTTTAGAAGTTAAACCTGGCCTCCCCGGTGGCGGTGGCGCAGTGGGTTGAGCGCAGCGCTGTGAGGCTGTCCAGCCTCTGCAGTGCGGGTTCGATTCCCGGTCAGCCAGGGAGATTCCCACATGGTGCAGCACACCTCTCCTGCCTCGCCCGCTGCTCCCCTCACCATTGCATTTCGGTTGTCTGCCTGTTCTGCTCCCAGCTCTGTCTCTAGTGAACCCTCTCACCCTCCCGCACCTCTGGCCTGTACCCCAGCTCTAGTATAAAAATAAATAAATGTTAAAAACAACAACAACGAAAAAAGAAATTAAACCTGACTTGGTTCAATTCCTCGAGCAAACTGTTGATTGCATTCCTATGATTTGTATGTAGGTTTATTTTTTCTTTATCTTTTTCATGGCTTAAAAGGAAGGGCCACAAATATAAGGTATTAGAGAAGCAAGAGATAGAAATGAGCAAGAGCAGAGAGATTGCAATTACAAATTTTGTGTATGTGTGTGGGATTGTTCGTTCATTTTGTTATCGAGAGGTTGATTTTTTTGATGATTTTTTTTTTACTTATGCGTACAAGAACTGGGATTCAGACCAGAGGTGCAGGAGGTGAGAGGGTTCAAGAGAGACAGAATGGGGAACAGAACAGGCAGATTGACTGAAATACGCTGCTGAGGGGAGCAGCAGGCGAGACAGGAGAGGTCTGCTGCACCATGCGGGTAGCTCCCTGGCCGGCTGGGGATCGAACTTGTGCTGCAAAGGCTGTGGATAGCTTCCCAGTGCTGTTCTTAACCCCTTGCGCTACCAAGGAGGCCCCTGATGTCTTTTTTAAAATAGACAGTTGAAACACATTTTGCCCTAGAATAAAGGTGATCAAGAGGACTTGATTCAAATTCATATTCTCTCTCTCCCCTCCCTCCTTCCCTTTTCCTTTTTTTTTTTCTCCCTCTCTCCCACCTCCCTTCCCTGATCCTTCTTTTTGGAAAAGAGCCAGATGTACAAAAAATATCATCAGGTCACTGTTCTTGATCCTGTTAATTTAGAGAATGGAACCTTAGCAAAAGATGCTATTAACTAAATGTCAACCCACAGCATGCAAAATTCCTTGGATCCCAGCTTCAAAAAAAAAAAAAAAAAAAAAAGGAATGAAAGATGTCATGTGAGTGAAAGGAATCATGGAATTTTTAAAGACCTAAACTGATCTTAGTAGAGTTTTATTGCTTCCACACCCTGCTTCAATATTTTAATTTAACAGTTACAATATGCATGACATTGCAACATTAACTAGTTAAGAAGCTGAAGGAGGCAGAGAAAAGGAAAGCGATGAGAAAAGTGGTTGGTTCACTAGCATTGAGAAAGTAATTTGCAAAATTAAATTCCTGGGAACTCTGAAATGAAAAACCAAAATCTATTCATCTATTCTGCCTGTGATTTTATCATCAAACATCTTATTTTTTTTCACTTCAGTCACTAATTTAATTTTTAAAGAATATGCAGTAAAGTGTTCAACTCGTGTGTATATATAACTTGGTGAAGTGTGTGCGTGTGTGTGTGTGTGTGTGTGTGTGTGTGTGTGTAACCATTACTTAGATCAAGTTATTGACCATTTTAAACACTCCAGAAAATTCTTCTATGCTCCTTTCTGGTCAGTGCCACCTCACTAACCATTAATCTCACCTCTATCACCATAGATTAGTTTCAAATGTTCCTGAAGTTCATATAAATGTAATCATATGTGTCGTCTTTTGTTTGGTTTTCTTTACTCATGAGTATGTTTTTGAGGTTCATCTACTCAAACTCTTATTTATAAGACAATATAAACAGCAAGTCATTTTATATAGATAAAGAAAGGGAGGCAAATACTGGAGACCTTTAACTTACCCTGAAATTTAAAACAAACAATTAAATTAAAAACAAACACCACATCCCCTAAAACTCCCATAACACTTCATTATCAACTAACAGAGATAATTTTATAATTACAAATAAATAAATAAGGTAAAGTATTTTACCCATAGTAACTTTTAGTCCCATTATTTTCAAGATACAATTGTGAATAAATATAAGAAGAGCAAAAGCCATGCATTGCTTTTGTAATTGAATTCTATTTCCTACTTGCATGACAGCCCCTAATACTAGTAGTAAGTACTTTAGGCCTCTTCACAAAGAATGCCATGAACTTGAGAGGGAAAGTAAATTGCATCCAATTTGTGCTACTTCACATGTGTGGTACTTAATGCCACAGCCTGTCAAGTGTGTCTTGAATTCCATTTGAAAGTAAAATATTCTATATTTTGTCCTATCTCTGGGGCATCAGATCGGTTAACTTCAAACAGAGAAAAGCTGTTCTCTAGAAATGACAGCACATCAAACCTGCAGAAGTATGATTGTTCCACGTTCTCCTAGCATTTCCAGCAATCCAGCCACAAAACCAGCTCTCTCAGGAACTCACACTCTGATGATCAACCAGAGGCAACCAGTACAGCCCATCATTAGCCCCCTTCTCTAATAAAAGCAAGAGAATGCAGGCAGTGAAGCTTTATTTGCTGGAAAGATAGCATTTTTAGGTATAGGCATGTTTATGTTATGGGAAAAATTATGAGGCTGGGGGAAGAGCCTGTAGTGACATCTTTATTGCTTGTAACTGGACATTGATACATTTGAGGTAGGGAATACGTCTTTTAATAATCTTAAATCTAAAAAATAAATATAAAATAAGTCTTAGAGTTCATACTTGTGAAGACAAAACTAATCCTTACTCAATAGTATAGTACCAGTCACACAAATTAAATAAAAAATAAATAAAAAATTATACTATTAGAATAGTTAAAAAAAATAACAATAAAACCAAATGTGGAGAAACTGGACTGGATTCTTCATGCATTAATGGTGTGAATGTAAAATGGTACAATCATTCTGGAAAATAGCTTATCAGTTACTTACAAAACTAAATAAGCACCTACCACATGCCCCTTTCTGTTGAAAGGCCCAATGATGAAAAGTTCTTGGGACATAAAAAATACTGTCTCTTCTTTTGTAAAACTTATTTTTTTAAAGATTTATTTTCTTTATGCATACAAG